GCTCCAGCCTCCAAGTCTCGTGACCGCTGCCCGGGACCCGGCAGGGACAGAACGGCCCCGAACCCCCCGAACCTCCCCGGACCCGGCAGGGACAGAACGGCCCCGAACCCCCCGAACCTCCCCGGACCCGGCAGGGCCAGAATGGCCCCGAAGTCCCCGAACCTCCCCGGACCCGGCAGGGACAGAACGGCCCCGAATCCCCCCGAACCTTCCCGAATCTTCCCCACCCGGAAGGGACAGAACGGCCCCGAACGTCCCCAAATCCCCCGGGGACCCCGCAGGGTCAGAGCGGCCCGGAGCCCCGGCTGTGCCTGCCCAGCCCCTCCCCAGCGCTCCTCTCCCCATGCGGCCGGGAGCGCCGGCCCGGAGGTGGCCCCGGGAGGGGACAAGGGCCCGAAGCTCACCGGAGGCCGGGCTCCTTGCGCGGGGCCGGTTTGTAGCAGTGCTGCCCTGCCCTGAAGTAGAGCCCGGCGCGGGCGGGAGGGCAGAGGCAGCCGCAGAGCAGCAGCAGGAGGGGCAGGAGCAGCGTGGCCATGCTGGGACAGCGGCAGCTCCCGGGACACGGCCGGCACCCGCGTTTAAGGGCGGCGGGAGGCGCGGAGGGACGGGCGGGGCGGGGCCACGCTCACCTGCGGCGGGCGGGGACAGCGGGACCGGGAGGGGACAGCGAGACCGGGAGGGGACAGCGGGACCGGGAGGGGACAGCGAGACCGGGAGGGGACAGCGGGACCGGGAGGGACAGCGGGACCGGGAGGGGACAGCGAGACCGGGAGGGGACAGCGGGACCGGGAGGGGACAGCGAGACCGGGAGGGACAGCGGGACCGGGAGGGACAGCGGGACAGGGAGGGACAGCGGGACAGGGAGGGGACAGCGGGACCGGGAGGGGACAGCGAGACCGGGAGGGACAGCGGGACCGGGAGGGACAGCGGGACAGGGAGGGGACAGCGGGACAGGGAGGGGACAGCGGGACAGGGAGGGATAGCGGGAGAGCCCGTGCCGGTACCGCCTTGGGGTCTCTGATGGATCTCTTGGGGACTAGGAACAAACTGAGATCCCGCCTTCCCAGCCCCCAGTGGCGTTTCCAGCTCAAAAATTTGGTCACATGGGTTGTACAAGGGGACTTGTACCTGGGACAGGCCCTGTTACAGGTTTCTTTACCTTTGCCCTAACATCTCAGCATTGTGCTAGACTCTGGCCAGCGACTGTGACTGTTTTTGTTTGGTTGTGTTTTTTTCCTAGTCCCGAGTTCTGGATTTCTCAAGCCCTTTAGTGTTACAATTAGCAAAAGAACACAGCCCTGTGTCCATTTTCTGGGTTGTTCCTTAGGGTTTGGACATCTGAAGATTCTTTATTATTTGCTAGAAGATTTAGTCAATAGTAAAAATAGTTTCCTAATTTTCCTGTAGAAGCTTCTAGTGACTGTGTGAGTGGATTACTGGTCTCTTTTCCCTACGTTACTAGAAGCTTTCATGTTTAATAAATAGGTTTCGTAAACCACAGACGGTTCTCCCCTCCTAGCTTCTCTTCCTTAGCTTTCAGCACTTTTTGTAGAGGGCCTGAGGTTTATTAGCTCCACACTATGAATAGAGAAACTGAGGCACAGAGAACTAATGCACCAAAAGGAACAGCAGAGCAAGAATGGAGCCTGTGAGTTGGATGCAGTGTTTTTTGGTATCATTCTTAAGGATGATTCAGCTAGCCCAGGTTCGTTAAGACTTGCATCAGCTTGTCTGGTAGCCATTCACAGATCTCTCTAAAATTATCTGATGGCCTGAAGCCAGGCTTATCTCAAACTGAATAGGGTTTTCTCTCAACAATCTCCTCTGCTACTCTGAAAAGCCAGTTCCTTCCAAGCAAACCATTAAAAAGGGTATCCCAGCATGCCTCCTTGCACATGCATATTTAATGGGGGTAGCGTTAAAAAACCCAAACATCAACCATGAAAACAAGAACACCAACAAAAAGCCCAGCAACCACGAAAGCCTGGCGTCTTTGTGGTCTCAGCTCAAGGCCATCGCCAGGGCTGTGCTATCTGCTCTGGTGGCACTGGGAGCATTGGGCAGCCTGATAAAGCCACTGTGGGAGCCTGTAATAGCTGTGCCCGCTGCCAGGCTGCTCCTAATCTCCCCGGGGCCAAAAGTCCCTCTGAGCCGGCCCATCCAGCACAGCTCCTCTCTCCCCAGTGCCTCTGTGCTAATCTGCAGCTGCACATGTGCCATGGCAGGGCCTGGGAAGTGCCTCGGGCTGTTAACAGGCCTGGGGCTTCTCAGGGCTGAGCAGGGACAGGCCCCTCCTAGGCTGGGTTTGGGATAAAGTCAGACTTAGGGGTTCACAGAAATGCAGATGGGGAGGAGAGGGAAAAGAGGCCCAAACCCACATCCGCTTCACAAAGCAGCTCAGCTACCTGGTGTCATGTGCCAGAATTTTTTAGACTCTATAAGGAAGCATTTCAGAGGAGGCACATGATTGTAGGAAGCTATTTTCAGCAAGAGAAAAAACCCCAACTGTGTGATTGCATATTTCTTTCACTTCCCTTCCCCCCCTTTCCTTGTGAGATGTACTCAGCAAATATATTTATTGCTGAAATTATTTTGTCTGATTTTTTGGACAGTGAATTAGCACCTTCAGCCTCTTCCTAAGCTGTGTCTATTGTGAATACTTGCATATTTTAAATAGTATTTATTGTGTCAGCAGCTGTCTGCTGACGTTGTGTCCAGGCAGCTCCCATTCAGAATGCAGCAGTTGAATATACAACTCAGATGTACATTACTGCTCTTAGCTAAGGATGGTTGGAGAAAACAAGTATGAAATGTGCATAAATAAAATTAAATATGCTTTAAAGTCCAAATAACCTTTTCAGAATTTTCTTAGGGAATTGTAGAAGATATCCAAAGCCATTGTGGGAAAAATTGACGATGTAGCAATGGAACAGAACGTTTTGTGTGTCTTTCTGGGTAAACTGAATGGCTTAGAGAACACTTATCTTTTGAAAAATGATAAAATGATACTGTGTTTTAAGGAAACAAAATGAAACTACCTGAATTTAAGGTCTTCCTTTTATTGCTCCCTACTCAGTATGCTCATAGCATGGTAGAAGATGATAGATGTTTGCTCTCTACTTTTTTACAATGCACTTCTGGTGCTGAACTCTGTGTCAGGAGCAGTTGTCTGTTCCTTCATTGGCTAGTGGGAGAAGTTGAAGTCATCAAGTGGAGGGGAAACCTGGAATAAGCTGGTTTTTTGCTCTGGAACCATATGGAAGCTCAGAAATCTGTTATCTCTAGCAGCCCATAAAGTGGTAGTTAAAATTAGTGAGTTAAGCCTTTCCACTATCCCCATTTTATTTATTATGCTAAATAGTTTAAGGTGCTTTCCTAATTATAGTTCCTTTCCCCATCCTTAAAAAGAAAACACTTGCAAGGCTGTGACAGTCATTTGACATGTAATTAAACTGCTCTAGATTTCCAGAAGTCATTTTATCCTGGGCTTCTGCTGCTCAGTGATACTGCTCCTGGTTATCAGCAGCCAAACATGACTGTGCTGTGTTTTGTTCTGCCTCACATCCTTTCCTTTAGCACAGTGAGATGTTTCACTCAGTAAATGTTACAGTTCACTTCCGAGAACTTCAGTGAAATGGGGTTTCACCTCTAGCATTTTCCTGGCAAGTTCTGAAGTACATCTGTGATATAAGAAATTAAGAAATATTAGAAATGCTGTATTTCTTAATGTCAGGAAATGAAGAGAGAGAGAGAGGGAGAGAGAGAGAAAGAGCATCTGTGCAAGTTAGTCACAAGTTAATTCAAGTTTTGGCTAAAAATGATGGATTCTTATAACTATTTAAGGACCATCCATCACTGAGAGTACAGTGTTATTTTTATGTGTTACAAATTATTTTTTGTTACTGCTCATGTTCCCCTCCTTCATGCAGTCAAATTTAGGAATGATGCTTGTTAGTGAACTGGAGGTTGCCTTGCAATGTGCTGAATATTGTGATTATAGGAGGCTCCTGCTCACAAGTTGTTACCATTTTTATTATGGGTGTTGTCCTCTATGACTCATATGATGCTAAAATTTAAATTATGTGGCAGAAGCACATACGCTTAATAAATTAAGATCACTCACTTTGGGCTATAATCTCTACATATGCACATATATTTGTATATATATTACGTCTAATACAAAATAGTGAAGCACAAACAGAATATGCACATATATTCATGCAGCACAGTGCTGCACAGAGAACTGGGAAGGGATGCATAGGACAGTGCTGCTTTCCAAACCACTCACTGGTGCACCTGTGCTCTTGTACCTGTGTCCAGGCAGCAAAGAGCCCCTTGGCTCCCGCTGCAGTGCCTGGGGCTGGCTACTCCCCTGGCTGGCTGAGTGACACTCCCTCGGGTATAAAAGGGCCCCTGGGGCCGGGCTGTGCTGGGTGCAGCTGATAGAGCAGCAGGCAGAGGCTGGAGCTGGGGAGCCGGGGCGAGGTTGGAGCCACCAACAGGTCTGAGCCACACAAAATGCGTGAAATCGTGCACCTGCAGATTGGCCAGTGTGGGAACCAAATTGGAGCCAAGGTAAGGTCTCTTTTCAACACTGATCATTAGTAGGAGGTCAGAGGTAGCAGGTCACACATCATCGATGGATGGGGACTTTCAGGGGGGACAATTACCTTGTAACTCAGTGGTGGGAAGCATGGGATATCAGCAGAGAACATGAGTATTTCTGGTATGAAAGGTAAAAGCTGGATTTGCTCCTCATGCAAAGTTTAATGCTCATTTGCAATATCCGTGGCCCGGTGATTACAAGTGCACCAGAGCATTCCTGCTGGGACTCCTATTCCCAGGAGGAACTCATATACTCTGCAAGATACTGGGGCAAGTGACAGAGCCAGTAATTCCAGGGCTGTGAAGTTGTGTTGCTGGTACTTCAGTTCAGACATGCAGCAGCAGCTCTACCACATTTTATTCTTAAATATCACAGAATTATACAATGGTTTGGGTTGAAGGAGTCTTAAAGATCATATGGGGTAGTATTAATCAACAGCATAACTTGTGCTAGAGTGACACAAAGTGTCACTGGCCTCCCATGAGACACAGATATCACTCGGAGTATTTTTGTGTAGCTCAAACATTGGCTTGCTGTGACATAAGGAGTAGTCACTATTGCTGACTTTCTGGGTTAGGAATAAAAAAATGCCTCAATTACTATGCTGTGTGATGACCTTCCTTTTTTATTTTTAATTGATAAATAGAAAGTTGTCCAAAGATTATCTATTTTGGGCTAGAAGGTCTTTTAAGACATGGCATAATTGAGGGATTGTTGTGTTCATTCTCCTTTCTCCCACACCTGACCTTGATTACTTTTAAAGAAACATGAAGCATGGAACACGCATCTGTTGGCAGTGGTGTATTTGTACACTCAGAATGGGACTGGATGCTCACCCAGGAGACCTTTAATATTAGAATAGCCTGGTCATTACAGTGGGTGGGTGTGTCTGTATGAACACTGCTGTGGCTGCTGCCCAGATAAGAGCCCAGCATAAGAGCACATCCATATGAGTGTCAAGATAGGACGTTTAGGACAAGCAGCTGTTTGTGGAAAGCCTTGCTCACATACAAATTTGCCTGTGCCAGCTTTGTCGTGCCATGGTCCCACCTGTGCATGACAGGACTCCTGAATCCACACCCTCACAATCCTTTTGTTAAACTTATACCAAGTAGCAACTGTTATTTAAACTTTTAAATTAGCATCCATTTTCTTTTACTATAAAGAGAACAAATTGAGGGCTTCCACTTATTAGTGCATGGGTCATAGCTAAGCAGCATAAATGGTCTGCTGAACTTTTCCCTTGAGTTTTTTGGGGGGAGATAGAGAAGGATCCCTGTTCTGATCTGGTAAGTAAATGGAAAAGCATCCCCTGCTTCAGGCACAGTTCCCAGAGCTGGTGCTGAACATATGCTGAAAATAAATAAATCATTCTCAGTGTGTTGCACCTCTTTCTTTCTGCAGTTCTGGGAGGTGCTTGGTGATGAACATGGAATTGACATCACTGGGAACTACCGTGGGGATTCACCACTGCAGCTGGAGCGAATTAACGTGTACTTCAATGAGGCCTATTGTAAGTGCTCAGCAGAGCCAACAGTGAGGGCAAAATAAGTAATTAAAAAACCCACAAAAAGCCTAAGCCACTCTAGGTGGATTGGGCTTTCCAGAGTGGATTGTAAGCCTGTTTCTTTGACCACTATCAGTAATTATTTGCATTCATTTTGTTTTGTTCCAGCCCATAAATACGTGCCCCGTTCCATCCTGGTGGACCTGGAGCCGGGGACGATGGACAGTGTCCGGTCCAGCAAAATTGGCCCCCTCTTTCGACCTGACAACTTTATCCATGGTATGTACAGCACACTGCCAGCAAACTGACTGCAGGCAACTGTCACAAAAGGGCCTTGGAAAAAAATCCTTAAAAAATCCTTGTGTTAATTTTGTGGTTGCTCTTTCTGTAATTCTTTTTCACAGGTAATTCAGGTGCTGGCAACAACTGGGCCAAGGGCCATTACACAGAAGGTGCTGAACTGATTGAAAACGTCATGGATGTGGTCAGGAACGAGTGTGAGAGCTGTGACTGCCTTCAGGGATTCCAGCTCATCCATTCCCTTGGTGGTGGTACAGGCTCAGGTATGGGGACACTCCTCATCAACAAGATCAGGGAGGAATATCCCGACAGGATCATGAACACCTTCAGCGTCGTGCCCTCGCCCAAGGTGTCCGACACGGTGGTGGAGCCGTACAACGCCATCCTCTCCATCCACCAGCTGATAGAGAACACAGATGAAACCTTCTGCATTGACAACGAAGCTCTGTATGATATATGCTTCAGGACATTAAAGCTCACCAATCCCACCTATGGGGACCTCAACCACTTGGTGTCCCTAACGATGAGCGGCGTCACCACCTCGCTGCGCTTCCCTGGCCAGCTGAACGCGGATCTGCGGAAGCTGGCGGTGAACATGGTGCCCTTTCCTCGCCTGCACTTCTTCATGCCTGGCTTTGCCCCGCTGACAGCTCGGGGCAGCCAGCAGTACCGGGCCCTGACGGTGCCAGAGCTCACCCAGCAGATGTTCGATGCCCGCAACATGATGGCAGCCTGCGACCCCCGCCGCGGGCGCTACCTCACCGTCGCCTGCATCTTCAGGGGCAGAATGTCCACCAGGGAAGTGGACGAGCAGCTGTTGTCCGTGCAGACCAAGAACAGCTCCTACTTTGTGGAGTGGATCCCTAACAATGTCAAAGTGGCCGTGTGTGACATCCCGCCGCGAGGGCTGAAGATGGCAGCCACGTTTATCGGCAATAACACGGCCATCCAGGAGCTCTTCATCAGGGTATCCGAACAGTTCTCGGCCATGTTCAGAAGGAAAGCGTTTCTCCACTGGTACACAGGGGAAGGCATGGATGAGATGGAGTTTTCTGAAGCAGAAGGTAACACCAATGACCTCGTGTCTGAGTACCAACAGTACCAGGATGCCACTGCAGATGTGGAGGAGTTTGAAGAGGTAGAAGTGGAAGCAGAAGCCAAGCCAGAAAAGGAAGCAGAGTAAAAAGTATCAAAACATTCTCCAAATGAGCCTCTTCACATTCACTAAAGACAAAGCAACAGCCATCATCAGCATACCCAAAATAACATTTCTTCAGAACTTTTTCTCTGTGTCTGGCCAATTATCTCTGATATTACAACACAGTGCTTTTGAAATTAATGGCAGCTCTGCTTTACTGTCTTTAACAGTTGACACTGAATCTCTCCCAAAACCAATCCACTGTGAAGACACGTTATCTCATACCAGCCTTCTCTGTAAATGGATTCACTTTTAGAATATAATCACCAGATACTGAATGTACTATACAGCCACTGTGCCTGTGTATATAGATCAGGATCATAAGCAATAGCAAAATATGCTGTCAGCTCATCACCTTTATTTATTCTCAGGTAAACACAGTCCCTGCTGACTGTGAACTTGTTACTGTTTTAGGAACATGTGCACATCTCTAAGGCCTCCAAAGCAGTGACTCTTTTATCACTCCACAGACTGATGGACATCTGCAGAAACAAGAGGGGGCAAATGACTGAATATGCACATTCTTATTTTATAAGTAATTATTCTATCACACTGCTGTCTTATATTATTGCAGAGCTTGTATTCATTATCATGGTGTGGTTTGTTTCTATTTCTAACTACAGGTTGAGTTACATTAGCACACTAAGTTGTGACATTGTGTAAAAGTTTTGGTGTGGTATTTTTTTTTCCCTAGGTATTAACTACTGTAAATTTTTTTCCTAACCTTCATTACAACAAAAATGACATAGAATGGTTTGTAGTCTGTTAATGTAAGTTCCATGGCAGTCAGTAATACAAAACCGTATTTTGCCTTTGATGAGAAAAAGTTGCCATCACAGCTGCCTACTTAACAATGTATTTATAATATTCTTTTAAATAAAGATTATATACCATTCTATGAAAGTTTTATAATTGAAACATTTGGTAGACAAAATCCCATAGTTTATTCTTGCAAAAACTAACTTTGAATTACGTTAGCTATACTTTTATATGAAAAAAATTGTTGGATTTTGAAGAAAGTAACAGCTCATGTTTGAGTTCAGTCTTGGTGAAGGAACCTGAAGCCAATTCTCCTGTGCAGTGTGACAATGTCATCCCTGCTGTGAGGACACACAGCAGCAAGAAAATGCAAAAAATTCCCCCAAAACCACACAGCTTGAAGTGCACTTTTGCCTCCCAGCCAAGAGAAGTGTCTCCTTCCACTCCTACTTCCCAGAGAACATGTGTCCTTCTCGTGACAGTGTTAATGAGGATAAACAATTCAGAGATTCCTGTGTCTCCCTCCCCATCTCTCACATGACACCAGGTCTCCCAATTCCTGACTCACTGCTCAGTATCTAAGACTTGGGAGATTAGATCCCCAGCAGCACATCCATGGCACAGTTATCCTGCTTTCCAGTTTTCAAAACTATATGCTATATTCTCTGCTAATACAGATTTTAGCCAGGATATTTTTCCCCAAAGTAATAATTAAAATGTCGTAGGCAGAAAAGTTTTAAACCATCAAACTCATACATGTACCTGAAATAACAGCATGAAGCCCAAGAAGGGATTTGGCTTAAAAATAAGAATTGGCTGTTGAATGTCCAGACTGTGCTAAAAGCAGTCTTATTTTAACAGAACTGAAAAGTAAATGTCTCTGCAGAACAGAAACTTTGTATCAAGAGGAACAAGACTTTCCACACATTCAGAAATTACATTTATTAGCATACCAATTTACATACAAAGGCAAGTTCTACAGTTCATGTGATGGATGATATTACACTGCAGTCTTGAGCTTGCCTACAGCTTTGCAGTTTGCTGTTATTCATCACAGATCAGCTCCTACAAGAGATTAAAAATACAAGTTATTCGATTCAAGAATGTGTACAAGGTACACTTCAAACAAAAGGTAGTAACATTTAACCTCAGATCAGGAATAGAAGCTGTTCTAAACAGAACAGAAAATATTTCAGCTGCTCGTGATGTATGGAATGCACAAATAAAGGTATAAGCAGCATCCGTCTCACAGAGAGCAGATAACCCATGCAGCGAATTTGCTGATCAGGGGAAGGAGCAGTTCAGAGGCTGTCTGCTGGCATAAGTATAAAACATGAGAATATCACAGAGAAACTTGTGAGCATCACCACAGAGCCCCAGCTGTTCGGTGTAAAAATCTGACCAAACCCCAAGTGGTTCAATGAAGGGCTTGACAGACAGTCCATCTCACCTCACTAATGAAATCAGGCAGTTTCCCATCTCACGCGTAATCAGGTCACAGACACCTGCGCACATTCGCACCACACCAGCCGCAATCCCCTCCACTCTCATGCCTGGAGATCGAGCCGATTATCTCTAGATATCGCGGATTAATGGACTCAGCACTTACAGACTATCGCTAACTCTTGCACTACAGAGCTCCAGGCACGCACCCAGCCCATCCCACCCCACCCACTTACATTTCACTCCTTTTTGGGTTTCACCGTTTTCACCGTGGCCACCGCTGCCCTCTCCGCCTCCGCTTTGTACTGCGGCTTCATGGCGGCCCGCACGGCCTGGGCGCAGATCTGCGAGTACCGGATGTAGCTGCGGCCAGGGGGACGCAGGGCGTGAGACCCGGGCCCGGCCCCAAAGCCGTCCCCCCTCAGCCCAAACCCGCTCTCCCCCCACACCGCTGTCACCCCGGCAGGCGCTCCCTGACAGCCCCGCCGCGCCAGACCCTCGCCCCCGCCCTGTCGCGGGGCTGTCGCGACAGCAGTACCTGAGCCCGGCCTGTCGCCAGTACGCCACCATGGCTGCGGCTCCGCGGGGCAAGGTCAGCGCGCGCCGCAGGGGACGTGCCCGCCGGCCAATCAGCGGCCGGGAACCGCTCACGCGCGCCGCCGTTCACGGGAGCGCGCCTCCGGCAGCGACCAATCAGAGGGCTCCGTTCCGGAGCGCGGCTCCCGCCCTTTCCGCCTGACGCGACCCGGGCTCGCCCCGCCCCTTCCCCTTGGCCCGGGCGGCCCCGCGGCCCTGAGGGGAGGGGGGCGGAGCTATGGCGGCAGCGGCCGGGCCCCGGTTCCTCACGGCTGCTGCGGGCCGAAGATGTGCGGGGAAGGTGTGTGCCCTTCCCGGTGTGGGAGAGTCTCGCCTCCGCCTCCACCTGTGGCCGGCCGGGACCTGCCTGGCTCTCCAAACCACGGGAGTGTGTGTGTCGGTTCAGTGATTCAGAGCTGTAATTTGCCGGAAATACACTAGACATCAGTTACCTAGAGGACATAAATTAAAGGCCAAGATTTCTGTGAGGCTCGTGGCCAGTTGTAGAGCACTTGTGTTAGTTACACATTAACTCCTTCCTCGGTAATCCTATTGTAATCTAGGAATCCGAGCAAGTTGTTAAAAGGGTGCGTTTTGCACCTAAATCTGATTTTACCCGTCTATGCCACCACTTATTTTTTCCAGATAAGACACAAAAAAACCCCAACAAACAATTTACAAGCATGTGGAGCCAGTGATTTTTTTTTATCAGGCTGTTCATTTTGGAGTTGATCTGTGTGTGGCCAAGCTGTGACAGTTCTGTCCCATCGGACACGGTGCCTTGCCATGGGTTTCCTTTGGATGTTGATACCTGAAATTCACTCATTTGCTCTAAACAAATCCATAAAAGACAACATAGTAAACTAGAAGCTATCGACACAAAGAAAAAATAGTAATTTTCCCACATATAACAAGCAAAAAGCTATTAAAATATTCAAATCACGTTTGATACGTAAGCAATTTGGTCCTAACCTGCTGTTCATTTAAATAATTAAGAGAAAAGACTTAAGGAGATTAAATCCTGGCTTTTTAACAAATCCTTGCACTTTGGTCTTGTTCGCTTACTCCCTTTCATCCGAAGTCAAACCGTTTTTAAAGCACAGAGTAGTTTTCAGCTTTATTGAGATCTCATTTAGTCCAGAACCATTGCAATTAACAATCCACATGGTAATGTCAGGGAAGAGCCACCAGAACAAAAAGAACAACTGTTCACCAGATATGTCAGTCTGTCTCCAGCATACAATGGTAAGATCTGGACCCCAGTAATCTGTATTTTTTTTTAACTTTTAAACAACTCTGCTCCTATAGAATTTTGGGTTAATTTCTTAGACCCACATATTGCAATTGTTCCTACTTAATTTTAACAAAATAGCTAGTGTAAACAAGGCAGAAAACAATTCTTACTTCAGGCATTTGTTTTCTTCTTTATTTTTGTGTGAAACATATTCTAATTTTGTGACAGACATGGCATATTGGAGCAAAGCTTTCCAATTTGCAGAAATTAAATAAATCAAAAAATATTTATTATGACAAACATGTCTCTGCACTTTTAGCACAGAAAGGTGCCAATGATATTAAAAGGAAATATATTTGGTTTTGAAGCCCCAGTCGTAACAATAACAAAAAGATAGGAAACAGCACCGAAGATTTTGGGAAGCCCCTCTGTGCTACCTAAGCAGCATATCTGATGCAAGACAAGTAACTGGAGTACTTAATAATATTGAGAAAGGGGATATTACATGCAAATGCTTCTTTAATGAGAACATCTGATGATTTAATAGGTGAAATAATTAGCACTAAGATTATTTTAAGCAACATGGGCCGCCCAGGCCACATAGATGGTTTGGCAGATAAATATCATGCCAGTAGAGTTGGACATTTTTTTCCAGCTACATGCCCCACTATTCCTGCCCCATGGCTTCTCTTGTTCCTCTCCCAGACCCATTTCTCACCTGTTTTTTGCTCCACAATTTTATTTTCCTACCAAATCTTCTCTCTCTGTACCTCCCTGTGAAATGCCTCTGCCTGCAATTCTGTGAAATTAACTCAGCTATAAATCCACAATGGAGATACACAACCTGGATGCAATTATTTACACATTTAGCTCTATTTACTATTTGTTGGTCTTGGTAGATAAAAATTCACCATGAACTGAAAAAGTTAAACCTTTGGGAGAGGTACCAGCCATGCTGAGCAGACTGGATATCAATCAGTGACAGAAACTGTGCTCAACAAAAATTTCAGAATAAATATTGATGTTTATAGAGCTGTTACAAGGCACCGTTATAGATTGGTATGGCCTGTTTTCATGCCCAGTTTAGATGCCAGGAGATATTTTGTAAATTAGCTAAAATTTCCTCAGGTAAGAATTTTCAGAGAGAGAACAAAGGAGAGAGCAGATAAAGGAGAGAAGGACAGAGAGAGGTTGCAGAGAGAAGGGGATAAGTTGGGAGGGTTAAATGCAGAGATCGAGAGAAGCTGCTGCAGTGCGATTAGCAACATCCAGAAATGTGAGCGTGGACGGGTCTGGGGGAACTAAGGACGTGAGGTTAGACATGTCCAAAGAAACGGAGGGAGTGAGGGAAGAAGCATCCTGAAAGGTGAGATTGGAGACATCCAGAAAAGGTGCAGAGATGAGATTGGAAACATCCTTAGGAGGCGATGGAGATAATCCAGAGGAGCGCTGAAACATGAAATAGTTAAAATCGGTGAGGTCTAGAGATTCTGACGAGGTGGAGGAGCTGTACTCAGAGACATCTGGTGAGGATGGAGGGATTGTACAGGAAAAGTCCAGGGAAGCTGAGGAGGTGTGACTGGAAACCTCTGTGGAGGATGAAGAAGTGAGACTGGAGAGGTCTAGAGAGAGTGAAGAAGTAGGGCTGGAGAAATCTGTGGATAGAGAGGTGACACTTGAGAGATCCAAAGAGATTGAAGAACTGTCACCAGACTGATCCAGAGAGCCTGATGAAGTGACACTTGATAGGTCCAGTGAAACTGAAGAGGAGAAACTGGAGCGCTCCCAGGAATCTGAAGAGGTGAGACTGGAGAGCTCTAAGGAAATTGAAGAGGCGGTACTGGAGAAGTCAGAGGAGCATGAAGATGTGAGACTTGAAAGGTCCAGAGAGGATGAAGAAGTGAGACTGGAGAATTCCACAGAGGATGAAGAGCTCAGACTGGATAAATCCAATGAATCTGAAAAGGGGATTTTAAAGAGTTCCAAGGAGGCTAAAGTCTTGACACTGGAGGGGTCCAGGGAGGCCAAAAAAGTGAGACCAAGTAGGTCCACGTAGGTTGAAGAGATGACACTGAAAAGCCAAATAAATCCCCAACGTGATGGGTGTTAAATCAGCAGTATTTTAAACAAAAGATCTTTATCATCACACCAAAACAAAAAAAAAAACATGACCCCCCCAAATTTTTTTTTAAATAATGATTCAAACTGTGTGTTTGGTCTCTTAGTAGTTTCTCTTTTAGTGCAGAAAAACTCCAGTAACAGGAGCCCATAGAATTACTGAGAATATTGTGCCTTTCCAGGGGACCAGTACAGAGTCACACATAACATTGCAGACAGTCTTCTCTCCTGGCATGTCTGTCCTTGTTCAACCAGATTTATTTTTCTGTGTAGCGTGTGCAGGATTTTTTTTGGAAATTAACAATGTGCTAAACTGATTCTGTGTCCGAGAAATACACATTTCAGCAACAGCAGTTCTGTTATTCAGATAAAAAGAGGTCTTATTTTGTTACCTATCTTTTATACCTCTGGATATAAAAACTGTGTAGTAACAATAATTTTTCATTTGAGCTAGTTTGAATTGTTTAATAAAAATATCATAGAGAAGTTGTGATAGAAGGCAGACGTGATTAAAAAGGGAACTGAACAGCTTACATTTCAGTTCAAAAAGGTGCATCTAATTATAGTGTGAGTAGATCAAGAGGCTGATCCACAGCTGCCTTCTCTCGTCTCCAGACTGCAAAAGCTCAGAGCACTCAAACCTGCAGCTGCCTCTCCAGAGAGGCACAGGAAGGCATAAAAAGCTCTTCACTCATCACAACCACATTTTACAGACCAAGAAAAGTGCAAGATACAGGAACAGGAGGCTGCAGGTGAACACAGCCCAGCTTTGCCCACGCTCTTACACAACCCATGTCCAGATGAGTGTGTAATGGATTTAACATAATCACCATGGGTGCAACTCCCACCCAGGTCACCTCTTAACTGAAGCAGGTGTCTGCTGAACAGCCACTGAACTTGAATGGTGTCTTACTATGCAAACATTAAAATCGTAGGGATTTAGCACAATGCTAAAATTTCTACTCTAAAAAAAAGAGCTGTTAATATACCATTGATGAGACCCCCAAAAGTTGTTGAATATATTTAACATTTATAGATAATGCTTCTGTAATTTAAGAGCTGTTGCAACATGGTTGCAATTCCTTCAAGAGTACAATGCTTATAGATCAAAAGACAAATTACTTTTTCCAAGCTTGCATAATTGATGATGAAATGACAAATTTGCTTACTGCCCTCTATTTTTAATAAAATATAAAAGTAATTAACCCCTTAAAAATCCCTTGCTATCTAAAAACAATATAATTGCATGACTATCTTTAATCTCAAAGTTTTCTCAAGTGTATTCTACAGGAGAGAACAAGTATTAAAAAGAGGCAAATTACAATACAATAAAAAACTGGTGCCCAGTAGGCTATAAATTCGATCATCTCTTCACTGAGTTCTTTCTGTCCTAATTTAAAATAACAAAGTTATTGCACTTTTTCCTATGAAATAACACTATCAAGAAACGTGGAATTGTGGTCACCTTTGTACAAAATGTAGAGGTCAGTAATAACGTTTCCTACCTTGGGTAGCTGTGGATTTACCTCCTTTCTCTGCCCGGGTAAGCCATACTGGGCTGTGCTGGTCGAGCTCTGCTGTTCTCTCTGCTGCTGACCCTAATCTGCAGCACAGCCACTGGAAATGATGCCATGCTGATGACAATACAGGTCATCTCCTGGTAAATCTCCTGTCCCAGCACAGCACTGCACAGAGTGCCAGCAAACACTTCACTGAAATCAGCTCTAATCTTAAGAGAGATTCAGTTCTGTTTCTATTACAGTGTTTTGAAGGTTAGTTGATGAAGCAGATGAAGACATTAATTTTCAACTTTTGGACACCTGGATTCAAAGTAAAAATAATTTTGCAGTGTCATCCAAGTCTCAGCTGTTCATTCTACAAAATCTGGCATAAATAGCCTGAGGAGAGACCTAGGATCTGCAGAGCAGAATTCAGGTACACTCAAGTTTTAAAAATTCTGTGCATTACTTCTTTTCATGTGTTTAATAACTTGTGTTGCTTTTGAAATGTGGTTATAATAGCCTGATGTAAGATATTTTGTCCACAGTTGGTGCTCCTGGTCCTCCTAAGGTAAGCAATTAGTTCAGCTTGGTTGTAACATGTAAACTTACCTTTAGAATAATTCAGTTCTACAGCAACATGTAAAGCAAAGCTATAAAATTATTTAAGATAGAAATTAACAGGTCCTGTGCAAGTGAAACAACCTCCACCTTAAGAAATAGACTGTAAATGACTCACTGCTTCCATGTAAGCGCTTTGTCAGCACTCTTCAGTTCTTCCATAAAAGTGAACCTCAACAGGTTGCTGACCTTCCCTCTGAACCAGGGCTGTCAGGGCCAGGGGATTGCAAATGTTGCAGTTATCACACAGTGGGTGCTCAGGTTTATATATGACATTTATTGGAAATATAAATGCAAGTACAGACCACAAGAGACAGATCAGCAATGTTGAAGGAAATGGTGGTTACCATTTTTCAGTTTTTGAAGCAAACCCCTGGCTGGCACTTGTAGTTCACTGCTGTGTGGCTGAACAGGTGCTGACACCCTTTGGAGGGCAGGGATCTCTCAAAGCCCACAGCACTGATTTCATCACATTCTTCCACCTCTGCCCCTCCACTTCCCGTGTCCCCTTCCCCTTTTTAAAAAATTCTTTTCTCCTGGTCCTTCAGTTCTGTTCCTCCAGCTCCAGCTGCTTTCCCTTCCCCACATCCTCCATTCCTTCTAACCCCAGAACTTCACTGCACTGCCCCTCTCACAGCAGTGCTGTGTTCATCCACAGCAACCCACACTCACTGCAGTGAATCTGAACACAAATCACAGCCCAAGCAGACTGAAAATCCTTCCACAGGATGGATTCTCCACAGCAAACTGTGAAATCTGGTTGCTAGTTAAAGCCAGATTTGCAGAAAAGTTGAGTTATTAAGAAATAAAAAAGACCACAGCAGCTGTAAATGTGCATTTTAGGATATGCATTTCAAGAAAAGAAGTCACTCACTCCAGGGATTTCTTCACCCCTCTCATTTTAGATTATTCACCTCATAGTTCTAAAACACAACTAGACCAGAAAGTTTCAGGCATTAGCTAGAACTGAAACAAAATTTTATTTAAAAAGCGCCACATACAGAAAGCCATACTCTGACAGAATGAGAATGCAGGCATATAAATAAAACAGAAGAAAGAAATGCATTGTCTTTCAAGAAGTTGTTGAATGCCTGTAAGAACGAAACAGTTTTTTTCAGTGCAAGGCCAAACTGTGAGTTCCACTATGCAGTCCTTAGTGCAGAAAAATTTGGAAATGAAAAAACTGACTTGAAAATAACAAATGATGCTAATGGCTGAACAAACATAAAATGAGTTTCAAGCTAAGAATTTTTATCAGAAATGATGGTACAGTTTTGCAGAAGTTTCACATACATTTTAAAAATTGAAATGTTATTTCAGTTGTAATAATCTCCTGTAAAAGTATGGCAAACCTCAATGACTTAAATTAGTAAGGTAGTCTCAAACCATTTCTGTTTAGAAAAATACTCTGTTTAGAATAGTTAATTTTTAAAAGTTATATATTTATATTCCTGTTTTCTTCCCCCAACACAAAACCTTATGGAAGTGTTCTTGTTTGTTAAAATAAGCTCTGGTTCTCTATATAGCATACACTACTTAAAAGGCAATTTGATAAAACAGAAATGGCATGCAAAATCAAATATGCTGGGCTGGGTGACATTATAGTTCATAAAGGCTAAGAGAGTCTTTTGAAACCACTTGTAAGCTTAGAATCAAAATTCCAGGAAAAGCCTTGGGCACCAAAATACCATCTCAGCTACTTCTGGGCTGTGCCTTTGCCTTTTTCTGTTCACACTGAAGGACTCTGGTGGGACAGAGTCCCTGTGAGGTGCCCAGGACTACCCGCAGACTGGCACACCATGGCACTGCCAAGGGCTGACCTTTGTGCACAGAATGACTGGTGACAGTACCAAGAACCTGCAACGAGTACCAGGAAACAGAGACTGGAGAACACCAAGTGAAACCCTTGAGAATACAAAGAGCCTTGTACTGTGAGCAAATCGGTTCAAAGGGTAAAGGGATGTGGAACTCAGAGCACTCGTTAAAGTAAAGAACAACACAATATCCAGTGGATGGAGCGTGTTATTTCTGGACTGTGATCAAGTTAATGAGTATATTGTTAAATGCTACTTCCTCTTATGTTTAGGTATCTCCTCAGCCACCTTCACAAAGGTTTTTTTAGTCTTTGATTGGTTCTTTGAACTGAACACCTACTACTGTAGCAGCTTACAAGATTTTTAAGGCTCCATGCTTAGTGTACCTGTATGTAATGGGCTTTTAGAAATGGAGATACTTATTGCAGGAGTTAAAGATAAAATTTGATTTTAAGGTACTGCATGCCCAGCTCATTAATGTTGCATTTAGGAGCAGGATTTAGGTCTTGGTAGGTAGGTGAGATGTTTTGATGTTTTACCTACAGTGACTAAACTGAAAAACCATCTGAGTACCGTGTTAGTTCAACCAGTCAAGTTAAAAAGCTTATCAAAAAATATTTTGTACATTCTTTTATATTTCAAGCATCAAGTAATAAGCTTTCTGTTAAACCAAGTTGTGTCACACAACTGTCAAAAATCAACAAAAAGAACAATGCTGGAACAACCATTCTGCTTAATTTTGGGCTTGGTCCCAAAAGAGGTAGTCCATAAGTCACAGAAAAAAATAAAAGTTAGCCTAACATGCCAGTGTCCTCCACCATATGCAGCCTCACCACTAAATGAGGCTATTTCATATCTGCAAACATTATAAGTTATTGTTCATGTAAATACAGGAACTACACTTGACATTTATTTCTTCATCTGTAACCACAATTCGGTCCAGCTGACCCAATATATTAAATAGCCTTTGAGCCTCAGCCTTGGTAAAAATTCAGCTTTTCTCCAGATGAAATTTATAACATGCCTAATACACACATCCTTTAAATAACAAAGGATACATGTATTTAGGCCAGGAGAGAAGCTGCAGGTCGTTAAGCCTCATTAGTGATGCAGGTCTAAGAATTATCATCATTTCTCTACAAATGCTGCTGCTGCCATTGAATTCCTCATGGTTCCTCTTGCTGAAGCTGCAAATTCTTCAATTTCAGCATTCAGTCTTTTAATTACCCATTCCAATGCTTCACGGCCCTACAGTTAAAGAAAAGTTTATCAGTGTGTAAATCTTAGTAAATAAGTAAATCAGTTAAATTCTTACTGAAAATTACTAAAGACGCAGTAGTTGAAAGACGAACGAACAGAAATACATGCCTCTGATATTTGTTATTTCAATAACTGGAGTACTGCTGGAACATGTTCTGCCTTACACTTAATGAAAACAATTCCTTATATCAGCAGTTCTCACATTATGATCCACAAAAGAATTTTTATCCAGACTGTTTAATCGTTCTCGAGGCTGAACTGAAGACAGCTTTGGATTGTCAGAGGACACACTCTCAACTAAAATACTGTTTCATTGCTCCCACTTAACTATTTCAGACCTGAATGAATGTAGATCCTTTTTTGACAGCAAAAACGAACAGATGGCATCAAGAGGGCAGCAAAAGAATGACAGTGTCACACTGTTGAGTGAATGGAGATGTTTTCTCCAGTGAAGATTCAGAGCACTTTGTCAATAACAATTTATCTTATCTCCATTCACAAGAGGAGAAATAAGAAGTTCAGCATGCTGAGCATTCAGTCCCTGCAGTAAAGGCAGCAGAACTATGCAGCCCCTTCCTAAGATTGCTGGCAAAGCCAAACAAAAACCAGAGATCTTTATTTCCTTTGCCATTTATCCAGTGACCACTCATTTTACACAAAGGCCATACTTACTTTTTTAGCATTAGAAGAAATCGTGTTTGCCATTAGCCCTTCTAGGTAACTGCTGAGACTGACACCTTTTACAGATATTATTGCTTCTTGTGTCAAAATGGTTCTGAGACAGAGAGCAGGAAACTGAATTACTCTTGCGTAGTCTAAAAAAGAAACTCCCTCCTCCCCTACAAGCACATTCCCTCATCAGGTTTGCTCAATAACACAGAACTTCTTGCCCCCTAAACACAACCCACTTCCACATTGTGTAACTGCTTTATGTTTCTACTTATAAAATAAAGCCCAAGAGTGCCTGGCAAGTCCAAGTCTCCCTTTGTCGTTTTCAGCCATTTCCATCTTTAAGATGGAAACAGCAGATTTGGAGTTACTGTATACTGGGAAAACAGTATTAAAACATCCCCTTCAACGATAGGGATTGAACATTTCTGACTGTCATGACAGAAAAAAACTCCAATGTTAGAATCTTTAGAATGATCTTTCAGAATTATCACCACTTCCAGCAGTATAGACTCATTAAATTCTAAGTCGCCTTAAAAACCCCAAGTAACCACCAAAACACAAACCTCCAAAATCAGAGGCTAAAGGCACACAAATGTGCTTTCTAGTGCAGATCTGTGCTGAGGCTGACAAAGAGATCACGGACAAGGAGCTGAAAATTGCAGATGTATACAAACTCATTATAGACAGAACACCCTGAACTGTGTTGGACTCCAGCATGACCCAAAGTCTCCCAGTGACTGCAGAACCAATGTCACTGCAGGACATGACACTCCTTTTAATCCTGGTTTAGACAATTTACTGTAGAGAGGCCATGTAAACCTCATCCTCTGATCAAGGAAAACATGGACATTATCAAAGCAAAATCCAGTAGCTGCGGGCAATCTCAGAGCAGGGAGATACTCACTTGTGTGGTTCATGAGGGTGCGGTTTATAGACAAGCCTTTCATCTACCGACACGAGGTTTGTAAATGAAATCTGCAGAACACAGGACAGGATTACTCCTTGACACAAAAAACAGAGTAATACAGAGAGCAAAATGCCACGTGATTAGGAAACAGTCACAGTGTACATAAACCAAGAGGCTTTTAAAACATTTTTACCTAACACCACCCCCACCCACAAAACTCCTCCTGCTCATCAGCATGTTCACAGCTTCAGCAGTGACAAGTTCCAAGAGCCAAGCAGCTCCTTCCTGAAAAACAGAACTGATCAACTGTAACCACATTACTTAAACCTCTAACTTGTATTGTTCTAATGCAATTTTCATGTTATTTTCAAGATGATTTTCCTTTTCATATGTATAATCATTACACTCTGTGATCCATTTCAGTGGCACAAACACAAATACTTACATTACAGGACTTAAGCTCCATTGTTTTTTTCACAGGGTCAACAACAGAGTGCTCCTGCACATATGTCCTTGTCCTGCAGTTGCCGATGAGCTGGGGACAGGCAAACAGAGATGGGATCAATTCCAAAACCCACTGCAATGCTTCATGCCTTTAAATGTACAAGCAGTGGTTATTTCATTAAACAGACAGTAAGAGAACACAATTAGGATTTAGCTTAAAACAAAGCTATTCAGCTGAGGGAGATCTCATTTTCCAGATGTGAGATCCAGATTTGGCTATCAGAGTCACTGTGTGTTGCTGCTCAGCTTTCCTGGTACATAAATGCTTAAACCATTAAACTTTTAAACCATTAAAGTTATGAAAAGATACACATCTATTACAACAGCTGGCTCAGGAGCTTCCCCTCCCCGCGGCGTCCCTTTCTGGTCTATGACACAATACCCACCGATTTCACAATGGATGGGATTCCCCACTCTGTACTCAGGAGCCTGTGGCTGTGCAGCTTCCCGCTGGGATCCACGTGTCTGTCCAGGACATCGACTCCCACCACGCTGGGGTTCATGGGGTTGGGGTATTTCCTCATGGCAGCTGTCATCACAGTTTCCCACGGGTGACTGCCCAAACACAACCAGGACAGTCAGTTGCACAGCTCTGCTTTCAATAGGATTATATCTTTCCCTGGAGAAAAATCTCTATTGCGTTGACTGGGCAGTGCACATGAAATCCAAGTATACAACACACCTGATTAATTGGGTGTGCCGAGTTCTATCATAACTGTGTAAGAATGATTTCCCTGTGACACCAATGCTAAAAGACTACACTTTATCCCGATTTTCGTAATACTAGAGTGATTTATCAAGCTGAGTACTCTCTTAAAGTTATTTTTAACACAGTTGTTCTGGAGCACTTGAGCCCCGACACCATGAAGGGCCTCATCGTGTTTCGGGCAGCAAAAGGGCGCTGCTCGGTGCCGACAGCGCGGTGGCCCCGCACAGCTCCAGCCCCCGCCGAGCCTCCCCAGCCCGGGACCCGGCCCGGGGGAAGGTCAGGGGAGGCGAGAGGCCGCGGCGCGGAGCTCCCGAGGGGCGGCCCTAGAGCGGCGCAGTCCCCGGCCCCCCGTGCCCGGGGCCGGCCCCGCCACCGCCCCGCACAGCACTTACTCGAACACGTGCTCCGAGGTCCAGATCTTCATGGCTGCGGGGCCCGGCCCGGGCGCGCTCCGCAGCCGCTGCCGCCGCTGGGCTCCGCGGGCCCGGCTCTGCCGCCGGCAGCACGCGCTTGCGCAGGTAGCGCCCGCCAATCGCCGCGCAGCGCCGCGCTGACGTCACGGGGCGCGTACCGCGTGACCGGAGCCGTGCCCGGCCGGGGACGTTCGGGTGAGGTCGAGGGCGGTGACCCCTGGGCCGGGCCGAGCTGGGGGTGAAGGGCGCGCGGGGATGGCACCGCCCGCTGCGCGCCCCATCGCGCAAACACGGGGGGTGCGGCCTGCGGGCCGCGCTCCGGGCAGGTCGGGGCTGTCACGGCCCAGCCCGGCCCTCTCGCCCCTCGCCGCCTTGCCCAAGCGCGGCGGGGCTGAGGCCGCGGTGCCTGATGACGTCAGCGCGGTCGCATGTGGCCGATGACGTCAGCACCGGTACCGCCTTGGGCCGGCAGAGGGCGCAGGCGGGTGTGTGACGTCACGCGCGTGACGCACAGGGTGAGCGGTGCCGCGGGCCCGGCCCGGCCCGGCAGGTTTTGTAAGAGATTTCGTAAGGGTTTCATAAGCGCATAACCTCGCAGCGGCCCCTGTCACCGAGCGTCTCCCGCCTCATCCTCGGGAGGAGCCAGCGGCATTCCCGGCGTCAGTGAAGGAGCGGCCACAGCACCAAACAAACCCACGCGCGGTTCTTGGCGCGACATCAAGCGCTCCCTTCTAAAATTCTCGGCAGTGTTGGAAAGCGCCGTGAGTTCTGTGAAAACGTTTTTTTTTTTTCAAGCAGCAGGGTAGCGTTCCATGCACACAAAGAGGGAGTGAACTCTGTGTGCTCATAAGCGCACAGAAATAACCTCAGTGGAAAAGCATGAGGGGGAAACTTCCCAGAAACAAATGACAGCACACCGTGACTGCTGACACCCGTCTGCCGTGCCAGAAACCCCAGCCAGGCTGTGCGAGCAGGCAGTGAACATCCTGTGTGCATCCCGAACATCAGCTCCAGCAGCTCTGTTACAGAAAAGCTGCTATTTAATAAATACCAGGTTCAGCCAGTTGTAAATACTTAAAGGAGAGCTGTTCAGAGAATAAATTTTAGCTGGGCATACCTGTCTTGATCCTATTTTCCTTGGCTCTTTCACCTCATGGACTATTCCTGAACACTGCTGATCTGTCAGAGTGGACACAATTATTGCTGGGAGATTGTGAGGCAGCTCTAAATCCATTGTAGTCTGAATACCCACCGAGTGATTTTTGCAGCTGGAGAATTTTGCGAAGGATGTTAAAAATGTGAAGCATTTGGGGATGTCTTAGTGTGACACAGTTGTGGAAGATGGTGACCCTTTAATAGGCAGGGGTGGTGCAGCAGATACCCATCTCTTATCCATCAGGCTGCCTGCAGCCTCTCATCAGGGATTTTTTCTGTAAAAGAAATGTTATCTACTGGAAGCAAAGCAAAATGTCATCTCCAAGAGGGAAGCATGCCAACATATGGTGCAGATTAGGAGCTAGATTTCAGCAGCTCTTGCTCGTGTAAACTTCAGGCTATTTTAACGGATTTGTTAAAGTAGGTTTCTATATCTGAGTGATATCAAGTGTGAAACTACTTATAAACCTGTCTTGTAAGAGAAACCACACAATTATAAATAATATAGCCAGACTTTAGGAAAATAAAATGTGCATTTGTAACTGCAGAATAAGTAGTGGCACATCCTAAACATTAGAAATATTTATATGTATTATAATACCATAAAATCCAACATCTTTGCCCCTATATGTTGTCAGTATCTGTAATGACTGAAATAAAGGAAAACATTCTGTCAGTTGAGTTTGTCCAGTCCCAGGCAGTACCAAAATGATCACTGGGGACCATGATGGACACCTCCAAGAGAATATGAAAACCTGTGGAAACCCATGATGAGATTTCTCAGTCCATATGTGTTTTTCAGGGGCTGTTTGCTCACAACTGCTAAATGCAACTGATATCTGAAATGGGCCTTGTGATTCTATGTTTCAGATTTTGGCAGAGCAATCCCCTTGCCATGGCTAAGAAATACTGGAAATTGCCCTAGGAATTCTATGGGAAAGTGCTCTGGGGTCCCAATTAGCTGCTGAATGAGGCAGGAAGATTTTGTATTGCCAGACCCATATTTGCCAGTAGGGAGGAGTGACTTGTCCCCTTTAAGCAGCCTCATAAAATCTCATAATTTTGACCAAAAAGCATAAATACCAGGAAATAACTCACAACCCAAAAGTCTCTTTATCTCCAGCATTATATCCAGATCATTCCTGCTCTCCATAGTGGGTACCAAAACCCCAGATTGTCAAACCCAATCAGGCCTCCACTGCTATGTAAAAATCCAGGGATTGTGTTTCTATTAGGAAAGCAAACACCAGCCTGGTTCAGAGCCCTGCTCCAGAGACCAACCAGCTCACACTGCAGCATGAATTTCACCCTGAAAAGGGTTTGGTGACAATGGCAGTGACTCAAGCTGAACTTCTGAGGGAAATGAATGCAAGCCTGAAGTGCCATTTGTCATAGGCCACCAGAAATGAATTGTGCAGAGGTGACACTGCAGGGGACTGATACAGAGAGGAGTGAGTGGGGAAAGTTCTGTGCTTACCTGCTGTACTCCCTGTCACAGGCTCTGGTTGCTTCCCTGCTTCAGCTATCACAACTCTGCACTTTCCATATACCAGCTGAGGTGTTTACTGTTTCCTACACTTAAGAAAATTATATTTTGTGGTGTATTTTTCCCCCTGTCATATTCTGAAATATGGCTATGCTGCAGTAACACTGCCCAAGTTCCTTGATCTAAAATGCAAGTTTTATTTGGTATTGGTTTTGTTGGTATTCACAGGCAATATTAATGAAAACCATTCAAAGGTCTTGCTCTTTTCTTGAGCTGGAAAAACAAGATTCCACTCCTCTGTCAATCTGGCAGTTGTAATGATAGAAAATTGTCAATGTTTTCTTTTCCAGACATACCTCTTCAGTGACTTCCATTATACAATTCTTCATGGCTGTCCATCTATAAACACTCTTTCATCAGCTGTCAATCCAGTACCTCAGCTCCTTATGCTTGGCTGTATTTTCCTGAATGTACTTCTTAGAGAAAACTTTGTTGGATAGCAAAGCTCCTTTTCAGTGCTTCCAGAATTGGCTCATTAATGCCTGGCAAGTCATCATGTATCCCTGTATGACAAAGTCACATCAAATGGTGCTTTTAATAAACAAATTCCTTTATCTGACAGCAAGAAAGCACAGCAGTACCTCAGTGCAGGATGGTACCCACTCCTCTAGCGTTGCCCATACTTTAATAGTAGTTTTGTTTAAGTAATTTTGATCCTTCCAGATTTCTGATTAATATCTAAAGAAGACACAAATTGGGAAATGCCACCACTAGAGAACATTCTGGAAAAGTGGTGTTAGGCACAAATGAGTTTCCATGATGTGACATTTATTAGGTCAGGACAGAGCTCACACTGTAGCAGTGAGTAACATTCACATGCTTTGGTGCATCTCTTTGTCTCTTCAGAGAAACATAAATGGAATAAAAATATTTCCCCTTCAATACTGAAAATGTGTTCTTATTGAAGTAACCAGCATTCTTTACCAGTTTTGCTTCCTCTGCAAGGCATTAACAGTTTCACTGCTGATGTTGAGTCCTAACAGTGCTCCCCACTGCTGCAGCAAACTGGCCTCCCATCCCAAAGCCCTTCCCCTCCCTTCTTCAGAACAGGTGCTGTCCCAAACTCCTCATCACTGAGGCCTGTGGCGCTCATTTGACCCAGGGCAGAGGGAAAGGACCAGAATGCAGCAAACAGCACTCGAGAGCCCTGAGCTCCATAAACCTCACAGCCTCAAGCAGGGGAGCTGCACTGCCAGACTGCCCCTGTGCAGCTGCTCTGCAGCTCTGCCCGGGCTCTGTGAGCTCTGTGAGCTGTGTGAGCTGGCCCTGGTGCCACCTGAGGACAGTTATTTCTGTCCTGGGGCTGCTGCTCATGTTGCTCTGGGACAGCTCTTCACATAGCCAGGATGAGCACTGTGAGGCAACAAGGCAGCTGAATTTCTGTTTGCACAGTGAGCCATACGTGAAATGGAAAAATGTCAGGAAGGCCATGCTGGTGCTGCAGAGCAAGAACAACTGAGCAGGGCTGATTTGGCCAATGCTGTTCTCTCAGTTCAGTGCATTTGTTCTTTACCTGCTGACAAACACTGACTTGCTGTTTGTATCATGCAATTCAGTTCAACTTGATTATAACACAGAGCAGTGTAAGACAACCAAATGCCTGTATTTGTTTCTGCGCTTTATCAGTTGACCAGGAGAGTTTTTTTTTCCATCCTGTAATATTTACTTCCTCCCTCAGTTTGAAGAAAAACCAGCTTGTAGAAATAGCCAACAAATCCCCTTCCCTTAGTCTTTCATATTCCACCAGAAATAGCCATCAAGTTGCCTAGGAAATACAAATAAAATTTTAAAAAATATTATAATTTGTTCTATCCTCAGACTAATACGTATCACTCCCTAAGAAGAGATGAAATGCCAGTAACCATATCAGCTTTCAGAGAAGAGATGCAGGTGTTTATGTAATTACTAAGAAATCAGTTTGAGTCGATTCCTGCCTTCTGTGTGGAAAAACCACGAGAGGGGGCTGGATCACATGTGTTGTCTGTGTATTCCACTCCCTGTGTTTCCCTGTGAGAACAGTCTTTTAGATTTCAATTCGCACAAGTCCTCATCTGTGAGGAAGTAGCTTTCCCTCCCTTTGCAGATATTGGTCACCACAGTTACAATTACACTGCACAACTCTCCAGGATGTGATTTCAATAAAGCCAGTCCAGTGTCTCAGGTAACCGAGATGTCCAGGCAGGAAAACCTGAGAACAATTCAGAGTGCAAATGTCCTGTTGTAAACCTGTGCACTCAGTGTCAGATAACAGCCTTTTGTACTTTATGGAAACAGTGAGGAAAGCCAAGGACATCATTCACAGAATGCAGCTGAGGAAGCTCTCAACAGGAGGTGAGGGATATCTTAAAAAATTTTAAAGCAGTCTTTGGTTG